GGGCCTAAAAAAAATTTTTAACCCTAATTGCGGGCCGGGCCGGGCCTCAAAAATAGGCAATTTGCAGGCCCCTACTGTAAGGACCATTGGTTACTGCGCCATATGGAACCGTCATGAAAATTTTCTGTGTCTGTAAGAGATTTCTAGAAGGTTTCAAATACCTAAATCTGGTTTTCTAAAGGGTTCCAGATACCTAGGTCTGAGAGAGGGCTATATTTACATAATAAGTGTCAGTTCCCTTAACGTAATATTTTATTGTAACGGTTAATGCTGATTTTTGGGGTCTCAATTTGGATCCATTACAACTACTAAAATCCACATATACTCTTTGATTAACAATTTTAACCCTAAATTCTAGTCCAACTATTAAAAAAAAGCCAAAAAAATATACGCCAAAAAATTATAAAATTTTGTATTAAAATAGGTCCCAAAATCAGCATCAGCCGTCACATTTATTATTGCAAGGTTTAATTCAATGAAAAATAATTTTTTACATGAATTTTTAGTGCTCGATATATTTGTCACGTGATATACGAAACTTTTTTTGGGTGGCTGTTTCACCCCGGTCTGTACGTAGAATTTTTTATTTGTATACTTGATAAAAATTTTTTTTTGTTAGTAGTTCTTACTTACTATTCCTTTATAATAAATATAACCATTATTAAGTCATCTTTTAAACAACATTATTATAACATGGGTGTTAATAAACCGATTTGGCATCATTTTGAAAGCTAAATGTATTTAATGTATTTAAAATATATTATTTAACAAGAGTAAAAAGTTATAAAATAAAAAAAATTAAGAGAACTAGAAAACTAGGGGGTTTATGTAAAAAAATTTTTTCATTGAGGCCTATGTCGGGACTTGTTTTCGAGTAATACAAACTAAAAAAGGAAACGTAGCATAAGAGTTTTTTGTTCAAAGAATAACGCGTTTCTGTAGGTAAAATTATAAAATTACTTTTTAATTAATGTTACAAGGCGAATATAAACGCTCGTATTTTCGTATTCTCGCTTTTTTTTCCTTTTTTCACTTCGCGCACGCGTCAAGCTAATACGCGTAAACAAACTACACGTTCTCTGATTGGATATTTTTGGGGGGTTTATATCACTCGAATAATCACAGATCGAGATACAAAAAATACAAAAATGCAAATTTGAAATTCGTGTCTGGTCATACACATAATAAAACACGTGTTTTTTTATCTAATAGTTATCGTTATATAAAGGCACTGGATATAATACTACGCATTAACCTAGTAATCGTAAAGCCGGATAGAAAGAGACGATTATATATGAAATATACAAACTGTAAATGTAATTCTGTAAATGCAGTTGTCGTTAAATAAAATTTGGTATTAAATTATTGGGTACACTATTAAGATCTATTGTACACAATTCCATTGTTCTTTCAAAATTAGTCCCAGATTCCAACATCTTTACCATCATATTTTGCTATGTCTCTAGCCCTTCTTTTTTCCTTGACTTTAATATTATTTCTTGTAGAATGTTGCTTATTTTTGGTTTTGTTTTTTGCGGTTTTTTTGAATGATCTTGCAACACGTTCTTTTATCTCGGATTCTGTAAGGCGATTGTTTGTGGTATTTGAGGGCTTTTTAATACCTTCATAAACTTTGTAATTACGATTGTCTAAAGGCTCAACATCAATATTTGAATTTTCATCTTGATTATTTTCTATTGAGATTGATTCGATATCTGCTGAAATATCTTCAGAATCACTATTCACGGGCTAAAATTAAACGTTTGTCACACGAAAACAAATAATTAATAAAAAAATATATACATATGTTTATTTAGTCAATGCAAACTATATCAAAAAAAGAAGTCTACTAACATCATTATCCTCCAATAATGATACATCATTAATATTGGTATTTTTCATAGGGTTGCTTTCAGTCTCGGTAGATTCGTCCGTTTCATCTTGTGTGCTCTCATCAAGTTCTTGTTCACTATCAGATTTTGGATATTCCGCTAATTCTAATTGATACTAATGAAAAAAAAGTTGATGAACGAATTTGCTTACTACATCGTATAATTATATTGTACAAATAATTAAATATATCTACTAAATACCGATTCCAATTCTTGTTGACATTGTTTAGTAAATCCACTTGCGGCAACCTGTACATCCAAACTGAATTCTCGATTTACATCAAGTTTAAATTTTGGATACAACGTACTCTCATAATTGAACCTCCTCTTAAAAAAAGTACGAATACATTCTACGTCGCGGTTAAAATACCTAAGCAATGATAATATTAAAATATTTCATTTTAATAATTGTTTTGATTAAACAATTACAAATCACACTATTTTTCCACTCATATAAGCTAAAGCTAACCATTCTGCGTCAGGGTGCGAAGTGGATACCATTTGTGGGAAATCAATTAACACAGGTTCCCCATGTTCTTTCACAAGGATATTGAATTCATTGAAATCTCCATGAATAAGACCGTGTTGGGCTAACCTAACAATTAAATTCATCAGATCAGAATAGAGTTGGCCCGGATTTCGTACTTCAGTTATTTGTCGCCTATATAAGATAAATTAAGGTTAGATTCATATAAGGATTATGTATAATTTCACAATGACCTTACAATGGATAAGCATCAATTAGTTCCATCACTACACAATGTCGGACATTATCAATTGGCTCTGGAACTGGAAATTTATTTTCATATAAAACCTTAAAAAATTTAATTAAATAAATACTATTTTTTCTTTGTACTGAATGGTATAGAACGTCTCTATAATTTACCTTCATAAATGCATATTCTTTCATGGCTGCTAATCTTGACATGTACATCCAAGATGCTGATTTCCGTTTTTGAAGATAATCACGTTTTGATTTTATTGCTCGAAATGAGATTCGGCCAAGTCTGGTAAAATCATTTAAATAGTTTATAATTAGTGATCTTTTTTTTTTTTAAAAAAAGGTATTCTTTCATTAAAAGCTTATAATATACCTGTGTATTTTTAAGGCAAATTGATTTTCATTTTCATCAGCAACAACGTATACATCTGTATTGATAAAAATTGCATTAATAAATAATTAATATTATCATTTACTACATATTGAAGTTATTCTTGCCTGATTCCTTTCCAACACCAATTTGATTACCCACAGAATAAACACTTCCTCGTTTAGCAAAAGTCTTCAAGGCAAGATAGTCATAACCACCATATGTTAATCTATACCCATCATCTATAAAATGATATTTATTTGTGAAAATTTTACGGAATCAAAGGTTTACATTTTTTAATGATACATGCATTTTGCATTGGCAACTCTAGAAATAAGATTCTTTTTGGCTAATTCTCCAAGTATTTTATGACTACCGCCATGACGTAACCCCGCAATTTGAGCAACAAGAGACGTAGGTACAACTTCATGATTTTTGGACCCCATTTCAACCTAATTTATACGACTTAGAAAATAGGTTTGATCCATTGAAAGAAAAAAAATTTGAAAATTAAAAATATCTACAGCTGTTAGAACACGGAACTCTTCCGTATTCATATATCTTAGCATCTTTGCATCAAGCTTCATTGTTGAGAAATGGATTAACGTTAATTTTCGTCTGCGCCTTTATCTAAAAAATTCACGTGCAGATTGACGATCATTGCACTACCTACTATTTTTTTCGATCATAGATCTTTAATTAATGTCTTTTATCATAACCGATTACGATTAAAAAGAAATGGCAAAATCCGGTGGATCCGCTTTAAAACGACTTAAGTCGACGTTAAAAGGAGCTGAGGTAATTGGCCATGGCTCTCGCTCGAGCATGAGTAAAAAACAGAGAAGAAAAGGAAAACCCAAGGGAGATAACAAGAATAATGTTAACGGCAAACTAGGATTCTTAAAGAATCAAATCAATCCCTTCGAACTAAAGGTTACCAAAACTAAACATAACGTAATAGGCAAAAAAGTGAAGGGTACCCAAGGTAGACCAGGTCTGAAAAGACAAATGGGTATAGAAAAAGTTTGTATATGATAATTTGATTTACAAATTTATGAAAAGTGTTATAAGATCTAATCAACTTTATTTAATTTTAGCGGAAGAAAACGTTGCTTATTGAAATGGAGAATCGGAACAAAGTAGGCGGATTAATTGATAAGCGATTTGGTGAAGATGATCCAACTTTATCACTGGAGGAAAAAATGCTGGAGAGATTCGTAAAAGAAAAAAAACAGGTATTCAAATTGATTTATTTGTTCATGTGCAATTATTTAAATTTTAATATTCCTAATAATTATTAAAAACCTTAGAGGCATTCAAAATCAACAATATTTAATCTTGAAGATGATGATTTAACGCATTATGGCCAGTCCCTGTCTTTAATCGATGATTTCGATGAACCTGATTTATTATTAAACGATGAAGATGATACAGGTAAGTCGTGTTGAGTAAATATTTCTTCCTGGCGAGGCAATAAAGAACAATTTAGATTTTAGTTGAATCTTGTTTGTTACATTGTTACTTTAGGCACAATTGACCATGACACTGTCGACAAAAGTCATTTTGGCGGGTTTGAAGACGAACAAAATGATGATGTAAATTTGTTTAATATTGTATGTATTTATTAATTATAATAAACCACATTAATAAAATTTGGTTTACTCTTTTTCTATAGGAATCAGAACCTAAAAAAAAATCTAAAGCTGAAGTCATGAAAGAAGTTATGGCAAAGAGCAAAATGTACAAGGTTGGTTTTAATAAAAGAAATTTGAATTGTAATGTAGTTGAACTAAACATACTTATTTAATCAATTAGCATGAACGCCAACTTGAAAAAGATGAAGACGAACGCATGCGCAATGAATTGGATAATGATTTAGATGAAATTAGAAATCTCATCTCCCTACCAAAGCCAAGAGCCGAACCATTACCTACTCAAGAAGCTGCATTTCGAAATGTTATTTTGCATTTTATTTTCTTGTTTTATATGTATTTTATAATTACTAATTTTAATAATACTTATAGAAATCAAACGAATCGGCGACAGAGATAAACCCTAAGACTTCTGACAAGGATGACACGTATGATAGATACGTACGGGAGTTAGCACTTGACAGACGTACAAGGCCTACTGACAGAACAAAGTCGGGGGAAGAAATAGCTCTTGAGGAAAAAGAAAAACTTGAAAAATTAGAAGTAATTATATATCTACATACGCTCTGTATTGAAATAGTTAATTATATCTTTGTCGAATTGATAGATGGCGCAGAAACGGCGCATGGAAGGATTGGATCCAGAGCCTGATGATGACTCTGTCAAGAGCAAAAAACAAAAGCAAGCTTCTACGACGGATTATGTGGATGATTATGTATCCGAAGAGGAGGAAGAAGAAGATAATCTTTATGATCTTGATAAAGGAATTAATTTGAAAGATGATATGATAATTGAAAAAACACAAGACGAAGATATGTCTGATGATGAGGACGATGATGATAATGATGATGATAATGATGATAGTGGTGATGATTATCGTTCAGATCTTGATTTGGCGGTACTTATGGATTATGCTCTATGTCACGCGCAAGAAAATCCTGTTCCGATGCACCTTATCAATAAACTTGTTGGTCGTATTTTTGACCTCGCACAAAAAGATCCAGAAAGCGCTACAGAGTACTTTGTGTCTAAGGTTGTTGCCATGGAAAATAGCTTGAAAAAAAAATTATCTTCTTCCAAACTAAAAAATTCAAAGTCAATGTTTCCCACCATATCTGAATTTATCTTATTAAGGATAATATCCCAAATTTTCCCAACATCGGATTTTCGTCATCCAGTAGTTACCCCTGCTTTGTTATTGATGGCACAATACCTATCACAATGCCCTTTTTCAAATGGTTTAGATTTAGTGTCTGGTTTATTTTTATGTAATTTAATGCATGAGGTATGATAGAATATTATTATTTTTTGAATATAATTAATCACTTCGTCTTTAATTAATGAATAATTGATAATACATATTTTCTAGTATCAAATTTTGTCAAAACGTATAATTCCTGAAGCTCTCAATTTCCTTTTTATTGCCCTTGTACACCTTGCGCCGCAAGACACATTTAATTCTGTGGAATCAATTCCTGGAATATTTCCATTTTCTGGAAAATTTGTTCCCAATCTTCAAATAAAAAATACAGTTCATGTCGATGATGCTAGTCCCTTGGATTTTTCACGATTGTTGGGTGTGGTGAACCAAAATGAAAACAATCGTTTAGATGTGTTTGATGATGATGTATTTCGGTAATTTTGAAATTAATGATATTTCGCCTCGTTTAGAATTAGTCAATTATATTACTCTAAAATTATTTATTTTATTTATTCTTAGTATATCAGCATTGATAGCTACTCTACATTTAGTTGAAAATTTTGCAAAAATGTATAGCTCTGCACCTGCATTTCCAGAGCTTTTTAGCCCCGCATCAAAAATTATCGGTGCTTATCCACTAGATAAATTTTCCAGCGCAATTAAGGTACCTGAATAAATATGTTCATTTTGAGTATCTTGAAATAATATTTATTTATTTATTTATTTATTTATTTATTTTTAATTTTGATTTACTTAGATGAAAATAGCTTCAACCCAAGAGACTTTGGAACGATTACAAAAGTTTTCTAAAAAAAGCCGTAAACCCTTGGAATTGCAACATCATCGTCCTATTCCACTTCCCACTTATACTCCCAAATTTCAAGAAAAGTATGCTTCAAACCATTTATCTTGATGTATTTTTGAGACAACCATATTAATCCTTTTGTCTTTTCTTTTTCTTAAAGCTTTTCTATTGATAAGCATTATGATCCAGATAAAGAACGAGCGAATTTAAATAAACTCAAGGCACAATATAAGAAGGAGCGTAAAGGGGCTATACGAGAATTACGGAAAGATAGTATATATATTGCACATCATAATCTTAAAAAGGTTAAAGAAAAAGATACAATATACCGAAAGAGAATTAATAGTATTATGGGCATCCTTGAAACTGAACAAGGAGAGAAGAAGGCTTATGAAAAAGCCAAGAAGTATGGTAAAATATAAGCTAGTTTTAGGTGTTGGTTTATCCTTTGATTTATTTAGCCAATTATGATAAAAGTTCGTTGTTATTGGCTAATCACTAATTCTAGTTGTCTAAAGTTAATTCAAAAAACCAATATTTGATGTATGGCCCAAGTTATCAATTAATACTTTATTTAATTTGAGTAAAACTATTTATTACTACGTATTATGCAAGTTTCTATCAACCACTTAAATAATAATATATTAAATCATGTATTTTAAAGTTATAACGATAATGTTTTATTTTATTGAAAAAGTAATAATATTCAAATAATGTAAAAATCTTTATCAACTAAAGAAAATTTAGCATTTAAAATTATCGGTATAATGTAGATAATCAATCAACGATTAGTCGGTTGCTCAACTACGACACCGCACATTTGTTCGTTTCTCTGTGTTGTGCACAGTCCAGATAGCAAAAAATAATCATTGTACAGCATTTTATGGTACATACTCAACTTCAGGGGTGTAAAATCGACACACGAATATTAACCAATTATATTTCTTTTTTATTTTTGTACCGCGTTCATCCATTCAAATTTTTACTGTGTAAAGACGCGTCGACAAAAAAGGTATAAAGTGCAGAACATCTAGTCACATCATGAAATAATTGTTTGCAATAAAAGAATATAAATTTTTTTTTTAAAAAAAAAGTTTTTTTTTTTATCTCTCTATGAAAGTCAAAAAAAAGAATACCCACACTTACAAGTTCCTCGACGGTGAAGTTGAAGAATGCGAGGAATTCGAACTTATCGGTGAAGATCCTGTGGCTTTGCAAAATCCTGAGGAAGCTGGGAACGACAAAAATACATTACCGTGTCGTCTTCTCGAAGACTTTATCATATTTGACGCGAACAAACAAAATCAAGTAAGATATTTACTCTAACTCACTTCCATATACAGAGTATATATTTAATTCATTTTAATCTTTTAGGTTATCAGTCTCGACGAAATAGATGTTGAAGGAAGAGAACTTCATGCTGCGGGAATTGTCAAACCAATGTTCGTCGGACCAGATGAGGATGATGATGACGATGATGATGGTGAAAATGAAAATTGCCAAAGAAGAATTCCAGATCAAAGATTCCGAACAACCACAATATTTTACTATCAGATAGAGTATTCCCAAAATGGACAAAGCGAAATTTGGTTGCGAACTCAATATGGCTTTTACAAGTTGCGGAAGGCTGCGCAAGAATATGTACAATATTTTACGCCTGTTTTTAAAAGAATTCGTACCGCTAATCTTGCAATCGAAGCAATTGCTAAAGATCCTGAAGTAACATATGAAAAGTTTATTGAGATCATCCGAGATTCATCAGCATCATCATCATCATACATTTCTGATTCTACAACTATTCAATTAACTGAAAATGACATAACTAGTAATCAAGAGTATATTGTAGATGAAATTGAGACTTGGATAGATGAACAGGAAGCATTTGGTGTTCTTGGATGCCCCTTAATCGCACGTCTTTCGGAACTAAGCAAGAAACGAGGTGGTAAAAGTGATAAAAGTAAAAAGCCAAAGACAAAACATTCAGGCGATTCTAGTACTGTCAAAACAAAACGCAATATTAATCCAAATTTGGCTGTACTACGAAATCGGAATCCGACTTGTGTCACACCATTTATTCATGACTTAACTAAGGGTCTCTTTTCTCGTCGACTTGTAACTGTAAAACATACTAATGACGAAGAAATACTTACCGAAAATTTACAAGGAAATTCATTAGAAAACGAATTAATCTCTAAGCCTGTTACTCATCATGTTGAATGGAATGGAAAGGCAATTGCGTATGATAACAATATTTCGTACTACCGTTCAGCAATAGTTGATGATGATATGATTAACGTTGGTGATGTTGTATATGTGAGAAATGATGAATCGGATAAGCCTTGGTTTGCCAAAGTTATGTATATGTATGACGACCCTAAAGAAGGCAAAATGTTTCATTCCAGATTTTTTAGTCACGGGAGAGATACTATTCTAGATGAGCTCGCAGGAGAGCGTGAACTCTTTCTCTTAGACAATTGTGATGATAATCACCTTGATACTATTATGGGCAAAGTAAATGTTAAAAGGCTTCATCATGAGGAGCGCGAGAATTTCACCTTTGATGATTCTAGCTTTTATTTTTATCGATTTTGGTATGACGAAACTTACGCATCCTTTGAGGATGTATATTCACATGAAGATCCTACTAAAGAGTTTCTTTATTGTGGTGACAATGAACTATGTTACTCATGTGAAAATAAACTCGCGAAAAAAGAAAAAGAGAAGGGCCCCAGATGGATTTCACATGATGAAAATGAACGAGAAAGTTTTGAATACAAAGGAATTGAATATCATCTTAATGATTTTGTATATATTATCCCGGATAAAAAAGAAGACCCTTATACTATTGGTCAAATAATCGAAATTCTGAATAAAGGTGAATCAATGTCGCTAACATCAGTAGGTGGGATGATGTCATTAACATCAGTAGGTGGGACCAAAATTATTGTAGTGCTGCGTCTGTTAGGTCGGTATGATGATCTTACTAAGGAACAAATATCATTTAATGCATCGGCATCATATAGAGATGTTATCGATATATCCAAAACTATTAAAGATTCTCGCCGTCTTTTCTTTACAAGAGAGACTGTTACAGAACGCGTAGATCGTTTAGAGGGTGTGTGTTGGGTTGATCATAAAGACAATGTAAACGATCTAGAAGCGTATAAGGATGAAAAAGATACTTATTATGTAGATTTAATCGCTCCGAAACGATCATCGAAGTTGGAAGAGATGTGCTTGTTTGAAGCGAATGATATTTTAAAATGTTCAATTTGTTTGGAAAAACGACGAAAACAACAAAACCTATCTGTCGAATTTTATGACCATATAAAAATGAACAATCAAAAACTTCGTGCTATGGATATATTTTCTGGCTGTGGTGGTATAACTGTGGGTATGGATCAAACTGGCGTGGTCGATACAAAATGGGCTATCGAATTTGATTCTAGTGCAGCAATAACTTTTGAAAAAAATAATCCAAATGCTATAGTATATAATCAATGTGCCAACCTTTTGTTGGAAAGGGCAATTGCAGAACACGATCGTCAAGAAACACTTAACGATCTGAAAGACTTCTTAGGTCGCAATGTTCAAAGTATGCCAGCGCCTGGTGATGTAGATTTTATATACTGCGGACCTCCTTGTCAAGGATTCAGTGGTGTAAATCGCTATCAAAAAGCCGATGATATTAAAAACAGTCTAGTAGCAACATCTTTGAGTTATGTTGACTTTTATAGACCTCAATATTTTCTTTTAGAAAATGTGCGTGGAATGCTTTGTTTCCGACTAGGAGGAGAACAGGATGGAATTAAGATAAAAGGGGGTATTAAGATGGGTGTAATAAAATTTATATTGCGTTCACTGACGGCAATGGGATACCAAACACGATTTGGTGTCCAGCAAGCGGGTCACCATGGGGTTCCTCAAAGTCGTCGACGTCTATTCATATGGGGTGCGAAACAAGGATTATATCTTCCGGATTTTCCACAACCCACAACTTGTTTCAGTAAACAAGGATCAATAAGTATTTTGTTGCCAAATGGAACTTCATTTTCATATTGCAAACGCACAAACGGTCACGCACCATTACCTGCAATATCTGTATGTGATGCCATAAGTGATTTGCCGGAATTCGAATTTGTCAATCCTCATTTAGTTTATCCCGCTACTGAAGAAGATAAAAATGAGAAGCGACCTTTCAGACAAATCATAGTCCCTGAAAGAGGATGGGTAGGAGACATGGTCACTAAATATGAATCAAGGCCACTTTCAGAATATCAACGCCAATGTCGTAAAGATTCTGAATATCTACACAATCATGTAACACGCGCATTTAACAGCTTAACTGTAGAACGTATAATTCGTATACCAATGTTTCCCGGCGCGGATCATAGCAGTGAGTATATATTAAATTTCCATTTATAGATCTGTTTTTTTCAGATTATATTTAAATGTGATAATACGTAAATGTTAAAGATCTACCCGAAAAACTAAAACCATGGTGCTTGAGCGATCCAAATTCGGCAGCAAGTCGTCACAATGGATGGAAGGGATTATTTGGTCGTTTAGATTTTAATGGCCACTTTCTTACTGCCTTGACCGATATCAACCCTATGGGTAAAACTGGTGTACGTATTATGTGTTATTTCTATTTGTCATGAAGTATTTTATAAATTGAAAACTTACGCAATTTGAAATTTTTTAAGACGGTGATCCACCCAAACCAACGACGAATCATAACAGTCCGTGAATGTGCTCGTGCCCAAGGTTTTCCTGACAAATTTGTCTTTTTAAGTGATCGAGATGATGTCAAAGACATGCATAGGCAAATAGGGAATGCTGTACCGCCACCTTTGGCATTCTCCCTTGGACAAGAATTAACAAGATCCTTATTAAAAAAGTACGAGGATAATAAAAATCAAAAGGGAAAAGGAAAATTAAATGAAATAATGTATGAAGTTTGGGTAGAAATCAAATAAATTCAAAGATTTATTATTTGATTGAATAAAAACTCTATCGCTTATAATGAATGTAATGTGATAGTTTAATTCTACTAGATCCGCGTTATTAAGTTACTTTGTTGATGCGGTTCTATATTTAATTAGGGTCGGATACTATTTAATGATATGCATCAACAACGTAACCATCTCTGATGTATGTTTACCCTACATGTAACTTTTGTCAGTGATAAGCCTATATTTAAAATAGCTGTCATAAATTTCGGCATCATCTGGTTTCTTATCGCTATTAAGGGAGTCGCAGATAGCCAGTTATTAGTTACGTAAGAAGTCTCTGGCCCCTAAGGATATTATGTGACTCCCCTTAGATTATTGTTAGGTTTTGATATTAGGTTAAAAAGTACTTTAATGCTTTAATAGTTCCAAATTTCGCAAGGAAACCTTTTTGTTTATATATGATTGGCCAGCGAAATTTTTTAACAATTTTTCAAGATGAATATACCAGCGCTATGGAAATTTTGACCAGCATTATTCACATAATGAACTACACAAATTACTTTAAAAGCTTATAATGCCAGCCGACGCTAGATAAATATATAGTCTTGCTTTTTACTATAGAACTACAAAAAGACTAAACAATGCAACAACCACCACAACAAGAACGTTCGCCAACAGAATTTCTAAGTAATGTTATTGGTAGACCTGTCGTTGTCAAGTTGAATTCCGGAGTGGATTATCGAGGTATTTTTGGCTTTTTTACAAGTGTCTTGAGTTTGTTACAATATATTCAACACATTTATAATTTATCTCGCGTATTAATTTTTTTTCTTAATTTTATAAACTTGGAAGGAATTCTATCGTGTCTGGATGGTTATATGAATATTGCCCTTGAACAAACAGAAGAATGGGTTAACGGCCAGCTGAAAAATAAATATGGAGATGCATTTATTCGTGGAAATAATGGTACGAACCTAGTAATTTTTACATATTTTTTATTTGACTTGTTTTTTAATAGCATTCGCTTTTCATAGTATTATACATCAGTGCCGATAAAGCCAGAAAACGGGAACCATTAAATATCCAATGAATGATGTCTTAGGTAGGGATAGAAAGTTAGTTCTGGTTTGGTTTAGGTTCTGAAACCTTTAGCAGACACAGGGTATATCCCCTTACAGGGGTTTAGAACGTCGTACTTATCGGTGGTATATTCAATATATATATAAATTTATAAAAAAAAAATTTAATTAGATTTATTTTAGAAGCAAATAATATTTTAAATTGAAATTTTAAATATATATTCTTTAATATTTGATATATATAAATCTTTAGGTAGTTATAAATAAAATTTTGATTTAAAGTTAGGTTAATTTATTCTGTCAGTAAAATTTTATTAAGTAATATGTATTTTAATATATACAATATGTTATATATTTTTTTTGGTAGTTTTGTTATTTTTTATGAAGTTATTTATTAGAGTTACAATTTGATTTTAGTAGTTTTTTTTTTTTTTTTTTTTTTTTTTTTTAATATGAACGGTGAGGCTTGATTTTTAGTAGTTTTAGTAGTAGTATTATAAATAAGATTATAGTATTTGATTTATAAATAATTATCTAATGTAAAATTAATTTATATGTTTTTTAAACTAAGTAAAAATAACATAATTATGTTATTTTAAATTAATAATACAAAACTCAAATTATTTAAGTGATGGATTACAAAACTCAAAGTTATTTAAATAATAAGTAAATTGCAAAACATAAGTTATTCAAGTAATAAGTAATTCACAAAACTCAAATTATTTGAGTAATTTGTAAATTATAAAATTCAAGTTACTTGAAACAGTTTATATACTCTTTAAAAAGTCAAATTTGTATATATATATTTTTTTTTTAAAGATAACCTCTTTGGTCTTTTGACTTTTATTAATAACTTTTTTGATAATATGATTCTATGAACTACTACAAAAAAGTGTACAATTGGTTACACATCTAACTTTCTATATTATCTATTTAAGGAGTTCATCTGAAAGTTCCTACCAATTGATATACTTAACACATCTCAGAAATGAATAAAGAGTAAATAATAGATAAATAACAGAAAAAAAAACAGAAGGTTTGTCAATATAAGTAATATAATAGTAACGTAATAGCAAAATAATAGAACTGTTCTATTATTTTGTTATTATGTTACTATTATGTTACTCATATTGACAAACCTCCTATTATTTTACTGTTATTCTGTTGTTATGCTGCTATTATGCTGTCATTATTTGGCAGATATAGGGTAGAATAATGGCAGTTTTTTTTCTATTATTTATCTATTATTTACTCTTTATTCATTTATTTGACCTGTGTCTGCTTGGATGTTTTACTTTAAACTTTTTAAATCTATAATCTGTATTAACATTACTGGATCATATTCAGATGTTCAGATTATTATCTTAATTTTAAGACTATTTTATCTTTAAGATAAATCTCTCAGAGCTTTTTGTACCTATTTTTATAGTTGACTTAGATATTGCTATAGTAGAACTAACACTTGCAATCAGAGTTATATCATTTAACTACTATACTCTTATAAAGTTTACATAGACCTTATCATCTACTTCACAGCATAACTTTAGTACTTTAGTATACTTCTGTTTTTTTACTTGGCTTTTTATTAGACTCTCAATTCAGTTAGCTTGTATAGAACTATAATTAATTTATTAATATATCAAGTTGGCCTAATATCTTTTTTTTTTAGTTTATTCTAGCAGCTTGGTTGATAATATCTCTGAGACATCCAATCCAAAGGTTTTTGTCTGTTTGGCTACTATAATTGGATATTATAACCTTGATATTTGTTTTTTTAAGCTAGCCTTTATAGTAAGATTATTAAAAATTCAGCTACTTCTCTAATCAAGTCTTTCTAAATAAACTTTTTGTTACTTAATTTTAACAGATTTACATAGCTACAAGAACTTATCTGATATTTGCATTATTTAATTTGTTAGTTTGCATTCTTTTATATAATTAGTTATACAGATACTTCATGACCTGTCAGCAGTATTGTACATTAAACATGTCTACACTATATAAAATGTTCAACATTCAAGATTGTTCAAAATTATCCAAGTCTATGTCCAAAGTTTAAATAATCATTAAAGTATATTAAAAATATATATAATTATAAAGGATGTGGCAACTTAGTAAAGTGAATAAGTTGTCAACCCTCCAAGTGATAGGTTGTGAGTTTAAAACCTACTGATAGTGAAAATTTGAATAATCACCTATGTAATATATAGACAGTATTACAGTGACAGCATTCTGTCGATCAGTTGGAATAAGATACCTGTAATTATGGTTGCACTAGCATGACTAGCAGGTTATGGGGCATCTGTGTAACCTTAGTTACACAGAGGAATGCAAACTGATACCAGATGGTGCAAATCTAAGATAAGTTCTTATAATTGTATAAATCTGTAGAACTGGAAAACCGGAGCCTATTTGGAAATACCCGAGTAGAAAGGTAACACAGATCTTCAATGGTACCACTGTAAAGGCTAGATCTAGAAAACAGATACCAATATGAAGAAGCCAGACGGGCAAAAACCTCAGGTGAGGGGTATTACCAATCAGGCCACCAGAATCAAATCAGAGAAAAAGGATATTGAGCTGGCTCGATATACCAAGAACAGGTCACAGTTCCACTAGGCTATCTGAATTGGGAGTTTGAGGTCAAAGCAGGGGTATACTATAAGTACTAGGGATATGCTGTGAAGTAGATGCTAAAGTTTGGATAAACTCTACAAGGGCTAGCCTTGTTAATATTCTGTAAAGTAGGTAGGTAGTTAACAAGAAAGTACTTAGAATTTTACAGTCAGGTGATATATTCTGGAATGTTTAATAACTTAACAGATGTATAAAAGGGGATGGCTAAACGTTGGGTTAGATGGCACTTAGTTGTACAGAAACTAGATGTTACTCATTTGAATGTAGTATAAGGATCAGTATTTAAATAGATATCCTTCTAGTAGGTTACAGGCATAGCAACTAGTGTAGAACCCTTGGGTGAACTACTTAAATAGGTAACCAAAAGTTACACATGTGACTAGTTGCACACTTATCTTGTACAAGTCACATGTAATGCATTGACCAAAAACACAAATAAAGGCAGTAACTACTAATAACATCAGTTTTAAATAAATATATATATATATATAATTATATATTATTTTAGATACTAGATTTATTTATAAAGAAATTAAAATATATTATCTTAATAAAATTTTGAGTAATTTTAATTTAAAAAAATGTTCAAAAGTGTTCAAAAATGTTTATATGATAACACTGCTATCAGTTATGCTAATGCAACTATTATTACAAATATTCTAACTTAATTATTAGTAACAGTTGCTATAATATAAATAGAGAATAACTATTTCTATTCTCTACTTTTGCTAATGTCACCTTCTATATGATCTAGCTGATCTCCAAACTCTAAATAATATATTACACAAATATAATTACATGACTTTAAAGTTACAGTTTATAAAAATTCTAGTTATGTAACCTTTATTTGTATAATATATTTATTTGATTATAGTTAATAGAGAGTTAGATAGGGTTAAAAACTTATAAAGAGTAACATTAGCAAAAGTAAAGGGTAGAAATAGTAATATTCTATAAATATTATATAAATAATTATTTAAATTTTTATTATTAATAGAATTTGAATACCTAATCTACTACTTGAAAAATTAACAATTTGACTATTTTACTAGGTTACTATACTTCTATATAATTTTTCATATATCAATTAATGTTAATTTTCATTATAAAAAATTATTTAAATAAAGTCATAATATTTTATTCTATATAATTATTTTATATTTTTTATTATAACTTAATTTTAATAATAATATTTATATAGTCATTTGACTTTATATTAATAACAATCAAAAATCTTTAACTTTACTTACAACTTTCATTCTTTTATTCTAAAAATTTTTTATATTAAAATCTTTTTAGATAAACTACTTATACCTTATATTTTTTACAAATGTAATTTTTTTTTTTGTCATCAATGCAATCAAACTAATTTTTTACTACATTAGGTTACTTGCTCTTTTACTTAAAAACAATTTATTATTTAGTTTTTAATTCTCTTAATTGTATCTACTTATAACATGTTTACTAATCTTGTCTTTAATTTGTATAAAAAAATACTTACACTTAATAGTTTCAAACTATATAACTTTTTATATATATTATCTTTTATTTCTACTTTATTTGATTTAGTTTTTTTTTTTTTTTAACTGTCCCAGATGATATCATCATAGGGCACGTATGGCGCTCATTTGATTTAGTTTTTACTAATCTTATTTCTATTATTTACAATACTTCTATTTTTTATTGTACTATTACTTTTTTTTTTATTAAACTTCTTTTTTATTTAAACTAATAAATATATAAACAAATATAAATTCTATATTGTATTTCACATTTTGCATAGTCTTAAATTACATTTTTTATTAAGGTATATAGCATATTATATAAATTAAAACTATATATAATATCATATAAAAATCTATTATCAAAGATTTTTGTATAACTATAATAGTTACAGATTAATTTTATAATTTTATTATATGATAGTAAATTTACTGTTACAAATAATATTAAAAATTAAGTAAATATTTATATAAAATAATATTTAATTTAATAAATTATTAAATATATTTAAAGTAAATAATATTTAATTTAATAAATTATTGAATATATTTAAAGTAATATTAGACCCAAATTGTTTTAAATTTGATTCTTAAAATAGTGTTTTTTGTCAATTTATTCATATTTGTTTTATTCTTTTAATAAATTCTCTTTATCAATTTGACTTGAAGACAAATGAAGCTTGAATTGTTTTACTAAGAGTAATATATTAAGATGTTTTTTAGGTTCAATTGGTTAAAAAGACTTTTACTAGTTGCTAATAAATGATAATAAAATAAATTTAAGTTTTAATAAAATAATAAAGATTAAGAAAGTTATATATCAATAGTTTATTATTGATACAGAATTCTTTAAATTTTTTAAAAAAATTATT